TTTTTTTAAGGATTTTTAGAGAAACTAGTCATGGCAGGTGTAAACACCTCACCAGAATCAAGCAATATGGAAGGACAGAGAATGGAAAATTCTCTCAAACTTAGAAGAGGCTGTAGAATATGTCTTGACAGAATTAAATCTGGATTATAAAAATCTAAATCAAGGAAATACCTCCAAAGAAATAAAACAAATAATCACAGACTTAGCTAAACAGACACTAGATGAAAAACCGACAGATCCCCAAGTTTCAATAATGCTAGCCATGCTCGCAGGAGTAATTACAAAAATAATAGAACAAGCTGAAACAATCCTAAACAAAGCCTCAGGGAAATTAAAAACAAGGAACAAATACGTCATTTGAAAGATGGCAAAAAAGAGCTACACACAGAAAACACCTCCTTGGCTCATGCAAACTACAAGTTAACAGCTGAAATAGCTGCTAAAACAAAATATTTTGATCTACTCAGCAGGAAACTGCTTGATGTAAATTCAAAATATGAAACTGACATGCAGGTGTTTCAATGTAGGCTCACAAGAAAAGGAAGAAGCTTCAAAAACGTACGCAGAACTCCAAAAAGGATATGATCAAATAGACGGGTTTAAAATAAATGATACAGCATAATTTAATCATATAGCTGTAACGGACCGGTTTTAGGATCAGAAACAGCACCAGAACTCAGGAGTAGTTTAAAAGTTTTATTTTTGTAACCGCTTCTGGTGGAGGCTTGGGTCCAGACGGTGGGCCAATCTATTAACAGGAGAGACTGCACATGAAGTCTGAAAAGCGATGGCTAAACTAAAACAGTCACTAACCTTCTCAATTGGTAGCAGGACAGGAGGAGAAGCAGTGGACTGGGTGATGTCACTCATGCAGAGAGGTCTGCAGCAGGAAAGCAGGATGATGGGATGTCCAGATCTCATGGTCCAGTTAGGGTAGCGGGGGGTCAAGAGCCAGGAAGTCAAAAACAAGCAAAGCAAAAAATGCCAAGACGGGTGATCCAAAAAACGTGGTTGAGAGAGAGCAAGCAAGGGTCATAATACCGTGGTCAGAAAATTGTAGAGGTGTCCAGTCAGTAGCAAGGCAAAAGCAAAGAGTCAGGAGATGAAGCAGAGTTCAAGATCAGGAATCAAGGTCGAGGAGAATGCGGGAGAATTTACTGGCTGGAGAGCTTTCAATAATCTGGCACTGAGGAGAGTGAGAGTGGAGCTTAAGTAGTGAGCTGAACAGGTGTGGCAAGTGAGTGGTGATTGCAGAGACAAGGTGCAACAGATGAGTGCACATTGCTGAGAGAGAGTGACAGGAGCAGAAAATTGGTGATAGGCAGTGCAGGACCAAACAGGATAAAATAAACAGAAACTGAGGGGGATCCAGGGGCGAACTATGACAGAACCCCCTCTTTAAGGTCCGGCTCTTGACGGACCTCTAGGCTGGTCCAGGTGAGCCCGAAACAAGGCTGTAAAAACGGTTTGAGTCTAGAGACATGAAAAGTTGGGTGCACCTTAATTGAAGGAGGAAGCCTTAGACGAGCAGCCACCGGGTTAATCATCTTACTGGTCGGGAAAGGGTCCAACAAAACGAGGAGCCAGTTTGCGACACTCAACCCGTAGGGGAAGATCCTTGGTGGACAGCCAGACCTTCTGACCCACCTGATACCAAGGTTGAGTGGAGCGCCGCTTGTTGGCCTTCCTCATATAGGCTGCAGAAGATTTTAGGAGAGCTCTCCTAGCTTTCCTCCAAATGCGCTGGCATCCAATGGCTACCCTGTGGGCCTATGGTACTTGGGCCTCCCTCTCCTGGAAAGAAAATATGAGTGGTTGGTAACCAAAAACAACGTGAAAGGGGAACAGACCTGAGGCAGACGAGGGTAGTGTGTTCATGGCGTGTTCCACCCATGGGAGGTTCTCAGACCATTTGTTGGTGTCCCCTTGACAAAGTAGGCGCAGCTTGGTCTCAACCTCCTGGTTTGCTCTCTCTGACTGTCCGTCGGACTGTGGATGGAAACCTGAAGAGAGGCTGACAGACATACCAAGAAGACTGCAGAACTCTTTCCAAAATTTTGAGATAAACTGTGGGCCTCTATCGGAAACAATGTCTTTAGGGAGACCGTGCAGCCTAAAAATCTCTGGACATGATTAAACTAAGCTCTTTGGCAGTGGGGAGCTTGGTGAAGGGAACAAGGGGGACCATTTTAGAGAAACAGTCCACCACAGTGAGGATGACTGTGAACCCTGAGGAAGAGGGTAAGCCAGAAATGAAGTCCATGCTGATATGGGACCATGGTCGAGAAGGAATAGGAAGGGGGTGGAGAAGGCCCGCTGGGGGTCGGTGAGAAGGCTTTGCTTGATTACAAAATTGACAAGAAATTACATAGTCTTTGACATCTTTAGATAAGGTCCTCCACCAAAACTGTGATCTAACTACAGTGAGGGTTTTATTGATACCAGGGTGGCAGAAAATGTGTGAGTCATGGCAGAGCTTGAGTATCTCTTTGACTTTGTTCTCAGGGACAAAAACCCGGTCCTTGGGACAGTCGGATGGAAGCAGTAGATCCCTATTGGCCCGGCGTAGATCCAATTCAAGCTGGGTAATAGAGAGTCGCACAGTTTCAGGGAGGATGAAACCCCCCTCAGAACTTGTTTTAGGAGATCCACTGCCTTCCATTATTCGAGAAAGGGCATCAGGCTTTTGGTTCTTTGTACCGGGTCTGTAAGATTAAACAAACTCAAAGCGAGAGAAAAACAATGCCCATCTGGCTTGTCTGGGGTTCAGGCGCTTGGCAGTCTTAAGGTATTCCAGGTTCTTGTGGTCAGTCCATACGGTGAATGGTTCTTTGGCTCCCTCGAGCCAATGCCTCGATTCCTCGAGAGCCAGTTTAACGGCAAGCTGTTCTCGATCACCCACATCATAGTTCTGCTCTGCAGCAGTGAGGATCCTAGAGAAAAAGGCACAGGGATGTATTCTACCCTCGCTGCTACGCTGGCTGAGAACCTATCCTGCACGTATTCCCCTACAGGAATGTTGGTTTGATTATTTTTCCCTACGTGAAATAATTTTATTTCTAAAGAATCTCATGAAGTCATCACTGCTTATAAAAAAAGAAGGTCAAATAATTTCTTCTGGACCAATTTCTTTAAGGGAGAAATGTTTTGTATTCCATCTGGAAGACTTAATCAGTCTGTGTTCTGCCAACCAGATCTGCCCCATAAGTAACCTTCATTGCTGTTTCAAGCCAACCTCATGTTGGAATCTCAGAAGCAGGCTTTTAACACATGCAAAGTGACTCATCTGTTTAAAACAATCAATCATCATGAATAACAATAAATATTTTAGGCCAGATGGCCGACTTGCTACTCACAGAAACAGCCGGAGGACACCAAAGTCAAAATGGTTCAGAAAAAGGTTTGTAAGCTCAATCATCCAGGTAAATAACAAAGGAAGGATAAATCTTTAAATCTCTTATTGGTCTGTTGCCTTCATACATCTCCTCCTACATGTCTCTGCATGAGTGCAGCTACAGCGTACGCTCTCAGGACATCTGCCAAGTTCAGTCCTGACTGAGGGAACACTGCAGGTAATAAAGGGCCTTCTCCTACTCTGCTCCTGTTTCCTGGAATATCTTGCAAAAAGACCTAAATCTCTTGACCTTGATCTCTCTAAGTGGCTTTAAGAATCTGTTGGATTCCTGTCAAGGACCAATGCAGACATGTTTCTGTTTTTAGTTTTCTACATTTGCCTTATAATCTAGATGTTTGTGTTACTTTTTTGCCATCTTATTTTAATTTGTAAAAAAAAAATCTCTATGCCTTTTTATAACTGTCTATTGTTGTCATTGTTGTCCACTATTGTTATCATTCTTTGTTGAAATCAGGTCTCTCTTGTAAATTAGTCCTCGAGACTCAATGGGATTAACCTGTCTAAATAAAGGTTGAATGAAAAAAAAAAATTCTGAACCATTTTGGCCTTGATGTCCTCAGGTTGTTTCTGTGAGTAGCAAGTCGGCCATCTGGCCTAAAACATTTGTTTGTTATACATGATGATTGATTGTTTTAGAGAGATGAGTCCTTTTGCATCTGCTTCTGAGATTCCAACAGGAGGTTGGCTTGAAACACAGCAATGAAGGCTTCTTATGGGACAGATCTGTTTGGTAGATTACAGAGTGACGAAGTATTCCGGATGGAAGACGAAACGTTTCTCCCTTAAAGAAACTGGTCCAGATGAAATGATTTAACCTTCTTTTGTTATCTACCTGGATTTTTGAGCCTACAAACATCCATCCATCCATTATCTTTACCCGCTTATTCCATTTTGGGTCACGGGGGTCGCCGGTGCCCATGTCCAGCAATCACTGTGCGATGGGCGGGGTACACCCTGGACGGGTCGCAAGTCCATCACAGGGCCACATAGAGACAAACGAGACAAACAACCATTCACTCTCTCACTCACACCTAGGGACAATTTAGAGTTACCAATCAGTTACCAATTGGTCTGTGGTAGGAAACCGGAGTACCCGGAGAAAACCCACGCATGCACGGAGAGAACATTCAAACTCCACCCAGAAAGGCCCCTGGACCGGGGTTTGAACCAGGGACCTGCTCGCTGAGAGGCAGCAGCTCTACCAGTTGCGCCACCGTGCTGCCGCCTACAAACCTATCACTGCTTATAGTTGTAGGATACATGAATCAACAGAGATATAATTTTTCATTAGATTAGCTATGGTCCTGAAAAGGAACCTGGGGTTATTTTTATTCTCATCAATTAAAGATGAATAATAACCCTAGGCACTAACAGATCATTGTGTGGGATTTTATATAATGTTATTTTGACGAAAACAAATACCATTTTGTTATTTCTTGAACATTCTATGATAGTACGATGTTCTTTGTGAACCTCTGAAAGGCTGTGTGCAATATGTGTTCCTTTGACAAATGCTAGTCTTTAGTATTCTTGTTTGTTAACTTTTGGAGGCTTTCAATTAATGAGATTTAAATGTGTTTGACAGAAAAATTTCTCAGGAGGATAAAAACTGGGAGCAAAACATTCAAGAACTCCAAAAGAAGGTAGGCTTTGACTCCAATTCCTTGCTTGATTTAAGTGCCTCACATTGATGCTATCTCAGTAATGAAGTTGGCCAAGTCTTTGAAACATCTCTCGAGACAAATTTCATAAGACATGTGATAAAATCATCTTTCCATAAGTCAAAGGAAATATGTTTTTTTGCTTCTGCAGCACAAAATTACTGACAGGGTTCTGTTGCTGAAGTGTGCGTCTGTCCTTGGTGTGGTGATCTTCATGTTTTTCCTCAACTCCTTTGTTCCCAGCATTCACCTCGATCTCGGTAAGTCCTACAAAACCTGATTTTCTATTGTATCGACCAGTTAAGTTTTTTTTTTTTTTTTTTTAATTTTAGGACAAAAACCTTTCATAAACTTACAATAATCTAGATTAGGAGGTTTTACTGGCTACTTAAAAATGCTGTATTCCTATTACTTTTATGATTAAGAAAACTTAGCACCAGTGCTAATATTCTAAATCCAATGATGCCGAAGCAAATAGTGTGTGGGGGTGGGGGTGGGGGGGGGGGGGGGGGGGGGGGGCCTCCCCAGAAAGTTTTGATTAAAGTAGATGCCATTTCTTGCATTCTGAAGTATTTTAATGGGTTGTTAAACATCTACATTTACCTAAACCCCCTAGCTCCTCTTCAGTCTGCTGTTCATGGCAGCTGGCTCTGAGCTCCTGCCTGAGTACAACAGCCTGGTTAGTTCAGCACACCCACACCACTGGCTTCTGCTACAGTACTATCTCCATTGCCACTGCCTTCATGTGCTTGAATTCTCAGTTGTTTAGTTGTACAATGTGGGTTAGGGTTAGGGTTAGGGTTAGGGTTAGACAGTTTCTTTTTTTGTGCTGAAATGTTCCGCCTTCAAAAATGTTTTCAAAATGAAATTGTTTTCAACCAGTTTGACAAGACTGTCAACAAGGAAGAGGGCCAGAAATGGAGGAGGGGCGTACCAAAGAGACCATCTAATCACAAGCAGAACTGGTTTGTTCCACTTTGGACTAAGTTGTTGGAGGAAGAATCAGTTTTGTTGTGTGTTTCCTTGACTGATGAAGCTTTCTGAATCGAAGGCAAAACATTTCAGCACAAAAAAAGAAACTGTCTAGATGACCTGGATTATTGAGCATGGACTTTGTTGTTTTCAACCAGTTTGACAAGACTGTCAACAAGGAAGAGGGTCGGCAATGGAGGAGGGGCATACCAAAGAGACCATCTAATCACAAGTAGAACTGGTTTGTTCCACTTTGGACTAAGTTGTTGGAGGAAGAATCAGTTTTGTTGTGTGTTTCCTTGACTGATGAAGCTTTCTGGATCGAAGGCAAAACATTTCAGCACAAAAAAAGGAAACTGTCCAGATGACCTGACTGAAAAATTGTGGATTTTATACCTGGATTATTGAGCATGGAATTTGTTGTTTTCAACCAGTTTGACAAGACTGTCAACAAGGAAGAGGGCCGGCAATGGAGGAGGGGCATACCAAAGAGACCATCTAATCACAAGCATAACTGGTTTGTTCCACTTTGGACTAAGTTGTTGGAGGAAGAATCAGTTTTGTTGTGTGTTTCCTTGACTGATGAATCCTTCCGGATCGAAGGTGAAATGTTTCAGCACAAGAAAAGAAACTGTCCAGATGACCTGATTGAAAAATGTTGGATTTTATACTGGGCAGCACGGTGGCGCAACTGGTAGAGCTGCTGCCTCTCAGCGAGCAGGTCCTTGGTTCAAACCCCGGTCCAGGGGCCTTTCTGGGTGGAGTTTGCATGTTCTCTCCGTGCATGCGTGGGTTTTCTCCGGGTACTCCGGTTTCCTCCCACAGACCAAAAACATGCATGTTAGGCTGATTGGTAACTCTAAATTGTCCTTAGGTGTGAGTGAGAGAGTGAATGGTTGTTTGTCTCTATGTGGGCCTGTGATGGACTTGCGACCCGTCCAGGGTGTACCCCGCCCCTCGCACAGTGATTGCTGGACATGGGCACCGGCGACCCCCGTGACCCAAAATGGAATAAACGGGTAAAGATAATGGATGGATGGATGGATTTTACACCTAGATTATTTAGCATGGACTTTGTTGTTTTCAACCAGTTTGATAAGACTGTCAACAAGGAAGAGGGCTGGCAATGGAGGAGGGGCATACCAAAGAGACCATCTAATCACACGCAGAACTGGTTTGTTCCACTTTGAAGTAAGTTGTTGGAGGAAGAATCAGTTTTGTTGTGTGTTTCCTTGACTGATGAATCCTTCCGGATCCAAGGCGAAACGTTTCAACACAAAGAAAGACACTGTCCAGATGACCTGATTGAAAAATGTTGGATTTTATACCTGGATTATTGATCATGGACTTTGTTGTTTTCAACCAGTTTGACAAGACTGTCAACAAGGAAGAGGGTCGGCAATGGAGGAGAGGCATACCAAAGAGACCATCTAATCACAAGTAGAACTGGTTTGTTCCACTTTGGACTAAGTTGTTGGAGGAAGAATCAGTTTTGTTGTGTGTTTCCTTGACTGATGAAGCTTTCAAGATCGAAGGCAAAACATTTCAGCACAAAAAAAGAAACTGTCCATATGACCTGACTGAAAAATCGTGGATTTTTTACCTGGATTATTGAGCATGGACTTTGTTGTTTTCAAC